TATATATATATATATATATATATATATATATATATATATATATATATACAGATGTATTAAACAGAGAGAAAAAAGGAGCATGAAACGTGCAAATAAGCGCAGATAATGTATCTAAAAAAATACGTTCTTTGTGATGAGAGGAGACATCGTTTTCTTCGCTAAAGTTGAACGCACCACGAGGGAATTCCTCCGTTCTCTTCTGAGAATCGCATCTCTTTCGCGCTTCCGTAAATGGAGATAAATCTTCTCCTCGAAAAATTTCCATGCAGCATAAGCCTGTATGTGCAAATAGCATAATTTTCCACAGGAGGAAAGATTGTTTACCTGCCTGACGATAATAACTGATTATTGTGCATATGAATCCTTTTTGTAATTTGCATCATCATAAAAGAGATTTCGCCAATAGGAGAGACTTGTATTACCTTTCACCAATCTTATCGTTGAACAAACGTGAGATGGACTGCGATCGTATTTAAGCAATGCTTATCGCAATATCTTGGATTGCTTATAAGTAATCAAGCAATTTCACTTCTCCGGACAATTATATCGTGCGTGAAGGCATTGTTACTCTCAGTTCATGCTGGTTCATCCAGAACAAGCTCGCGAACATGTCGCCTTCAAGTGATTTCAAGGGCATTAAAATCTTCGACGATACGACAGACAATATGGACATTATCAAATCTTTAATCGATATAGAAGAGCGGGAAGCCGGTTTTTATATCATGGATATTGGTGATATTATTAACAAGCACCGCGAATGGATTACTAAAATTCCGAGGGTTGTTCCACACTACGGTATGTCAGCTTTAAGATCTCTATCTTGGTATCATCTAAATTTCTATCGAAAAAAAATTGAGATTTCTTACCTTCTTCCAAACTAATTTCAGCGATCAAATGCAACCCTGATCCGAATATAATTAAGCTATTGGTCGCTTTAAATACCAGCTTTGACTGCGCGTCCGAAGTAAGTTGTTACATCTTTTTATTTCTTGCTATGAATTTTCTGAAAATATAATTTAATATAATTTAATTATTATTTTTTATGTTAAATATTTTTCTTTCAATTAATTAAATAAGAAATCTTTATTATTTTGTATATAACATTTTCATTTCTTTTCAAGTTTGTGAGATCAAATATAAGTATAATTTTAACATACATGTAATATGTTCTAAATAGCAAGAAATTAGGCAGGTGATGCAATATGGGGTGCAAACCGATCGGATCATATTCGCGAATCCATACAAATGCCCGTCTCATATCAAATACGCCAAGAAAATGAACGTTAGCCAAATGACTGCCGATTGCGAGCTGGAGCTTTTGAAGATCAAAGAGTTTTATCCCGAAGCCAAGTGAGTATGCGAAATCACTATGATATTCCATCCAATAATATTCATTTTCTATAATATTTTATAATATTTATTTTCATTCGGTTTTTCAACGTTTAATTATTGTACAATAATCTTCTGCGATGATCTAATAGGATAATAATACGCATACGATGCGACTCGAAAAACTCAGTGTGCGATCTCGGATTGAAGTTCGGCTGCGAACCGGATGAAGAAGCTGTGCGATTAATACGACTCACCCTCGATCTTGGTCTTACTTTGCACGGCTTCAGTTTTCACGTCGGTAGTCCATGCGGAGAGCTATATTCATACAGCAGAGGTATTGGGATATGCAGACGATTGATCATCATTGCCAAATCGATGGGATGTAAGGATGTGCAGCTGATCGACATCGGTGGCGACATTCCTGGTGAGAAAGGAACAAATATCGACAAGGTTCGTGCAGTCCCGATTTCATTTTGCATCCGTCCAAAGTCAAAATAGCTCTTTAAATCCTCATTTTTAAATCCTCATAGTTTGCTAACATTGTCAACGATGCAATCCAAGATCTTGATCCCAGCATAAGAGTCATCAGTGAACTTGGAAGGTACTATGTTGACTCAGCCTTTACTCTAGCTACGTTTATACATTCTAAGAGACTCGTTCGTAAAGACAACAAAATTATGAGAATGTATTACGTAACCGTTGGAACGTACAGTACATTTCTGGAAGAAATGATAGGTATGAAGAGTAGAGCCCCGCAAGTTCTCTTCGAGGTATATAT